TCACCATCTACCTACATACCACCTATTGTGAAAATTAACACTTGTAAAGTGTTTAGACTTGATCTAGTTCATAAGTACTCAGTAAATGTAATAGCTAATATTACTAGTATAATTCTTGCTATTATCAGAGTACTTTACCAGAAACCTGTAGTAAACAACATATTTAAATGTAACAATTAGAAATATTCCTATTAAAGTCAGGATTCAAACAAGGTGCTTGGAGTCATCACTTTTTCTACAATGTTCTAGGGAAGATTAACCAAAATACACAAAATATAAAAGAGAAAACAAAAACTTGTAGATGACATGACCATGTACCAAGAAAAAGAATGAGAAATTACAAACTATTAGGGCTATTGGGAGTTTAACAGCTGAACAAAAGATCATCAAAAGATAACAGCTTTCCTATATACCAGTAATGGCCAATTAGAAATGTGAAATCAGAAAAATTTCTCCTCAAAAGAGCATCAAAAATTTATCTAGGAAAAAAATCTAATCAAAACTACACAAGCACTTAACCAAGAAAACCATAAAACCTTACTAAATGGTTCATTAGTAACACCTAAATATTATGGAATGAAAAAAATGATTATGGTAGGGACATCAGTTTTTCATAAATTAATGTATTGATGTAATATAATTTTAAATAAATTGCAAAGTAGTCTACTATGAAACTTTACAAGCCAATTTAAAATTTTATGTAAAATATAGACTACCAAAAGCCAATTTTCAAAAAAAATAAATACTTGTACCATCTGTTGAAACTTACTATAAAATTTTAATAATTAAAACATGGCATTGGCAGAATAGACAATTAAGTCAACAGTACAAAAGAGAAAGTCCAAAAACTGACCAAATACATGTAAGAATTTAATATCTGACAAAAGACAAAAGCATTTCATGTCACTGTGGAAATAAAGGGCTAGTCAATGAAAAGTACTGGGACAATTGGTTTTACAAGCAAAAAATAAAGAGCCCTATTTCATCACAGACTGATTAAAGAGCCCTATTTCAAAACAAAAGAGCTCTATTTCATCACATACACCCCAGATTAAGGATCCAAATGCAAAAGCAAAATTGCATAAGTATTGAAAAAGAACAGAGTATGCTTATGCTCTTCAAGTACAGAAGCCTGATCACAAATTATCTTTGTACTCTGATGACCATATTCTCACTATAGTTTAAGAAATAAAACACTGCAATTATAGTTGAAGCCAAATAAACAGCTCTTGCCCATAACAAGTTCAAAGTTTAGAAAGAAGAAGCACACAGTGCTACAGAAGCAGAGAGAACACCAGTGTAGTCAGAACCCAGCAGAGGCCAATCTTGATGTAACTCTTATTTTTTTAACAAGTGTAGCTCTTTTATTTATCATCAATTAGCTAACTTGTTTCTCATTAAATGTCACTAAGACCTACCACATAGACACAGTCATCAAATATATGTAAAGGTTTTCTAGACAGAGAAAACAGCTCTATGTAAGAGCTATACATCTTTAATTCTAATTGTCAGGTGAGGATTACCAATGGCAAAATGCCAGCACATGTCAGTTGACAATCAAGACGCATGCTAGCTCAAACACAGCTCTGATGAGTTTTACTTTGTGTTGGGTGGGAGAAGGAGAATATTACAGAACATCCCACAAAAACAGACTGTGCATTAGATCAACATGAAAAGCACTATTTAAAAGTAATGAAACCAATATACCTTAGCAAAGGATGAAATGGATTAGTTTGAGGAAAGAAAATGAAAATTTCAAGGCAGATTTTTACAGAACAGATTTCTTATGCTTAAAGGAATGAAGTTTATGCTCTGAATATTTACACATGGAGCTTTAAAATAATAATTTATACAATAACCATATTTCAACAGATGTAGCTCTCTTACTCATGATTAACTAGTTTCTCATTAAATATCATTGATATATTAGATAGAATAAAAGAAACACCACAGCCATCATGACAATATCACAAGTGTTTCTGAAGCTTTTCACATTGCTAACCATGTCTGTTTTTTGAATTTCTCCTACCTCCTGGTTTTCATGTAAACATATCATGTGGCTGATTTCTTTTTCCTTGATCCACTTTCCTGAATTCTCTGCTAGGTTTACTTCCTGGTTGTGAACTTAACCCTAAGTATTTGGCATCTACCATTCTTTTAAAATACTAACTTCTTTCAAGATATAGCATGTAAATTATTCAAACAAAATAATTTTAAGAATTCTGACTTGGACCTCTTTTAATTCCAGTTACATATCATGGTCTTAGACATTCTGCCTCTGGCTCAAATTTAACAGCCTTAAAAACAGTACACACAGGGCCTTCCTGGTGGCGCAAGGAGTTAAGACACAACCTATGAAGCTATCCACAGCTACTGCAGCACCAGTTTGATCCCCCAGCCAGGGAGTTACCTACATGGCGCAGGAGACCTCTCCTGTCTCACCCGCTGCTCCCCTCAGCAGTGTACTTCAATATGTCTGTTCTGTTCCCCACTCTGTCACTGGTGAATCCTCTTACCGTGCTCCCCGCTCCCCAACCTCTGGCCTGTACCCAGTTCTTGTATAAATAAATAAAACCAGTACACACATATACACATGCCATATACATACACACACTTAAAAAAAAAATCACAATACTTATATTCTTTTCCATTTAATCCTCTTGAATTACCTAACTCAATGAGTTCTATCTGCTGTCCTTTTCCTACCCAGTACATTCCAGTTTTTCTCAGTTACAAATTTTATCTAGTCTTTTTTCATGTTTGTCCCTTCCTTTCTATCTTCCATCATGACCAACCTAATATAGGCACTGATCACTTCAACATTTAACAAATGCCTTCCTGCTTCTAGTCTCTTCCCTCCCTCCAAATCATTCTGAACATTATGGGTGAATGAATTTTTCTCTAAAGCACTACTTGAAACTTATCATCTTTTCCACATTTTTTAAAGAAAAATAGCAAATATTTGAGCTATTTAAGAACATAATAATTTCACTTCTACGTGCCTGTCAAATCTAATCTAACATTTAAAATCTAGTCTAAGAAAAACCCTCTCCTCAGAATTTTCCCTTAAGTTATCCCACTATTATACTTCCAGAAATGGCTAGTAATCTGCCTTTTACTCCAATCATGCTGAAATTATTTTTGTAGTTTCCCAAATACAAAGCAAATATTTAAGGTCTTCATTTTACTGGACCTCACCAGGCCACTCAAACCCTAGCAAACTCCTTCACTTTCTCTAACACACTTTGTTGGGCCTCCCCGGTGGCGCAGCGGTTGAGCGCTGGGTTGCGCGGCCTCTGCGGCGCCGGTACACACACACACACACACACACAAGCTATGCTAGCCCCTGCCTCTACACTCTGTTACTCAGATGAAACATCATTTCTGTGGAATTTCCTCCTGTCGCAAACAGCAAACATGTTTATGTGTATAGTCCCCCAATACCATTCACAATGTTGTATTATGTATTTTATGACATATTTTGATACTCAAAATCTGACATAAGTTGAGGCACACAGAAAAAGCAGGAAAGAGTGGATTCTATATGGTATGGCTGTATTATTCTGGTCACTGTCAAGTATACTGTATGAAGAAACGGTTGTATGTATCACAGAGTTCAGATGCTGAAGTCTAGTTCTCTGGGTATGAATTTTGGACCTACAACTTAGTAGTTACGTGGCACTATGCAAGTTAATGACCCTCTCAGTGCCTCAGATTCCCTCTTGCTTAAAAAAAAAAAAAAAACAAACGCAAAAAACCAAACCTACCTCATAAGACTACGAGGACTAAATGAATATTGAGGCAAAGCTCTAGAACAGTGACTGGCACAAAATAAACATTATATATGTATTTGCTACTACAACAAATACACCTTGGTTATTTTTTATCCTTTTCAGAAAGAACTCAATTTAGAATGGGTTTCCTTCATTTTTTTTCCCTTATCCAAATCTTACCCAGGTTTCAAAGCTAACCTCAGGTAAATCCTTTGATCATTCCAACCCTTAAAAGATCATGCAAACATTTAAATATCAACAGCATTTTTATCACTCTGCATTTAATTAAAAATGCCTTGCACCCTTGTAATTTATCACAAGTGTCTGTCAACCAACTTTGTAAGCGCTTAAACAAAGCTCAGTAGGAATCTCAACTCTGATCACACTACAGGGCCTTTGCAATCAAAGAAATGGTAAGCCTCTGAGAACATTCCATGCTTCTCTAAGAGCCAAGATGCAAATGTATTAGAGCCAGGGAATTCTAACTCCCATTAAAATGAGATGCTAAAATGAAATAGTTTGTGGGAGGGAAAAAAAAAAAAAACCTTTCTGGTAGCCTAGCTCGAGACCAAATTGTGGTAGTGGATCCTGTATGAGAAATCATCTTGTGTGCATAACAAAAGATTGAGAGTACAAGATATGCAATTACAGATCAAAGGACCCTGAGTCTCAATTTCTTTGCAAAGTGGGTATTTTACCACCTACTTCACAGATAATGAACATTCACCCTAACATTTAACTTATGTCCCAACTCCTTTGGGAAAAATTTGAAATAAACTGAAAACACTACAATTCACAAATAAAAATGAGACCAGTGAATACACTTTTCACTAGATAAGAAAATGTACTAAGTAAGCTGGCAGCAATATCTATAATACTCAAATTACCCATGAGAAAATTAAACATGTACATTGTTATCAATAATTAAGATTTGGGGCGCGGGAAAACATTGTTCTATACGATTTATCCTTTTTTTTTGGAACACTTTCTCCTTCCTGTAATTTCCTCCATTTGTTATTAAAAACAAATGTTCAAAAGTACCCCAAAAGATATTTGGAAAGCACAATTTAACTTAATAACAAGTTGGTTCTATAAAGGTAGCACACCAACTTAAAATTCAAAGATACTCCCAAAAAGGAATTAACATGAATTTAAGAAAAGGAGCTCATGAGGAGCAGCACATTCAACGATCGGTGCCAGTGATTTCAAATTAAGAACTGTCCCAACCTGAAGCCTGCAGTCGCCGTCGAAGGGTTTGTTTACAGCACCGACCACAGCAAACACTCCCTCCGGTCTTTTAGACGATTCATCCTGGCACGCTGATAATTTTTGAAGGCGTATAATGGCTGAAGTGCCCAATCCGGCACAAACTAAACTGGGATGGATTTCCCTCTGAAGGAAAAAAAGGAGCAAGTCCTATTTTTAACCTGCGATAATTTTGAAAATGATGAAATGCTGTTCAGATGTTCATCGACTGAAAACAAGCAGAACCGCGCTGCCTGGATCAGCCTTCGAGCGGGAGGGAGGGAAGGGAAAAGTGAAGACGAGGAGGAGCTGCCTTTGGGGTACAAAGGGGCTCCTTAGAGTGGCACAGAAGAGAACAGAGGCTCAGGGCAGAGCCGTCAGCGGAGAGCGGGGCGCAGCGCGGGGCGCCTTCGCTCAGGTGAAGTGTGTCAACTTCAGGATGAAAAGCTCTCTGGGGAAGGAAAGTCATCTCCGCGTTGAAAATTAGGAGTCGAGTGCGGGACATAAAGGGGATGAGCCACCAAAAAGGGTTGTAAAAGCCAGAGCGAGTTTTGGGGCGTGTGTGTGGGGGGGTGGGGGGGCGTAAGGCTTATTTTTAGGGATAAGAAATCGAGAGTTGTGGAAATTAAATTCGGAGGTGTGGGAACAAGGAGAGGAAGGAATGTGGGGATTTCCAAGCTGGGGCCGTCAAGCCGGGGGGCGCTCGCCGTCCGGGCACCCCTCTCAGGAGCCGGGTGCCCCCCGCAGAGTATCCAGTTCCGCTCGCCCGCCGGCCCCGACCAGGCCTTCGCCCTCACCGAACCCGGCACAACGCCCGGCCGCGGTCCCTCCTCACCTCAGGCCGCGGCGCCTCGCTGCTCCGCGACTCGGCGGCGCGCGTCGCCCTCCACGCCCGGCCGGCCAGGCCGGGAGCCGCGCTCCCGGTTCAGCTGCGCCCCGGCTGTCCCCTAGCGGGTCCGCGGCTCTCGCGGCTCCGCGCTCTGGACCGGCGGACTCCGGACTCCTTCCCGCAGGCTCGGCGCGCGGCCCTCCTCCCGCGGCGGGGAGACACGCACGCCCCCCCGCCCCGTGGCGCCCCCGCCGAGCCCCGCCCCCGGATTTGGAGCCTGCACGCTGATTGGTCCTCGCGAGACCCGGCGTCCCCGGACATTGGCTCAGCGGCCTCCGGACGGCGAGGGGGCGGGACAGGAGGCGGCTGCGATTCCCGTAAGGCGGCTCCCGGCGTCCGGGATTCCGGTGGCTGCGCCCGCGTCGCGTCTCCCAGACGCGATCGAAGGGTTCCCCCACCTCCCTCTGCGGACGGGAGCAGCGGAATGTTCCATTTTTCTGTGGAATAACGTGTCGTGAGCTGAAGTCCGGGGGCTGTCGCCTTTCTTTCTTGCCGCGGCCGCCGAGGCCTCCCTTCCGGGCCTTCCCCGAAGGACCCTGAGCCGCTGGGGGCCGCCGGCGTCCCTTGGGGGGCCCGGGGAGGCGTGGGAGCCCCCCGGGGAGCGCGCTGGGCTCGGGGCCGGGGCTCCACGGGAGGTTACCCCAGGTTGTGGCGGCGGCGATTTCGGGCCGAGCCTTATGTAAAACGAGCCCTACCGCTCCATCTGTTTTTAAATCAGTAAATGCGTTTGGGTGTGATTGATCAGTGAACCCCACAGCTGGTGACCCGCCAAGAAACTGGTTTTTCTTTGAGGTTTGTACCTCTGATCTGTGATTAAAAGTACCGAGTAAAAACCAGTTTTTTTCGTTGTAATTTACCCCTCCCCTGATTACCCCTTGCCTGGAAAATGAACCTTTAGGGTCAGTTCGTTGTATACCCCTCCTGCACCACCCCCTCCTCCAGAAAGATGAGAAGCTTAAAATTTAGGGGGGTGTGTGTGTGTCTCTGTGTGTCCATATCCCGAGGCCAGGCCCTTCTGTGAAAAAATGGCACTTTTCAGACAGCGATAATGGTTAAATGCACTTGAATAAATTAACAGGTAATTATAAGGTTCTTCGATATGTTGAGGATTCAGATAGAGTAAAACACAGACCAATATAGGGTCACTTAGTTGTGTGTCTACTGCTAAAGGACTCCTGGGCAGGCTTGGGAATGGTGCTATAGGAAAGACAAAACTCTATTGTGTTCCCGAGTTTGCAGCACCCTGTCATCCTATTTCTAATCTACCGAGCCTGAGGATTTAATCTGGCTCTGCCATTTTATAGGAGTGTTTAAGACAAACTTTAATAAAGTTTTGTTAAATTTATTTAACTAGAAGACATTTATTTATGGGCATTGTAAAACGATTAAGTGTACCTTCTGATTCAAAATTGCCTGAGTTTGAATCCTGGTGACAGCGACCTTGGGTGGGTCTTTTAGTTTTTCATATGCAACATGAGAATAATGTACGAACTTAACGGGATTGCTGCAAGGGTTAAAATAAACAAGTTAAAATACACGAATGCTTGACACATAATAAGTGCTTAATAAATAGCTATCATCACTATTAAATATTTACTATGGCAATACTTCCCAAATCTTTTTCCATGACAGCGTATAGTGAAAATGGTGTTTCTCTAGCACAGGGAATGGACAGGATCAATATCTCACAGCATGCTGCCTTGCACCCTTGTCAGGAAAACAAAAGGCTCCGTCCTTTTGTGTCTATCTTTGTATAGTCTTCCCTAAGACCCACATAATGTGGAGACACTAAAAGTGGTAGGCTAAAAGAATGAATCAGAACTGGGGGGAAAAAAATCAGAACACCACGAGCCCTTCTCTCCCTGATATTGCAAAACCTATGTAGGGTTTTGGCCTTGAAATGACCAGTTTTAGTTAAGAATTTGTTATTAGAAAGCACTGTCAAAATGTAAAGGTAAGGGTAAAAGTGATAGATTAGTCAAGAATTTTCCATTTATGCCCTTTGACCATTTAGGATTTGGGCTGTGGCAAAATCAGACGGTGGAGAAACTACAATGAGAGGGCAATATGAAAACGCTGAGGTTGCTTGTGAGTAGGTGAACAAAAGATGGAAAAAAATGCCACAGAACAGGTGATAAATGTGGAGAACAAAATTGCCTCCCTTCTATTTGCATAAATATGGTGCTGACCAGGATAACCATTTACTTTTTTGCTAGTGTCCAATTGTGCTTTTGAAACTTTGTGTCAGCCCAGAAACTATCCCTGAGTCTTGTGCTAACATTTTGATTTCAGCACTTCTGATAATGACTCAGCACCCCTGACCTCACAATTTCTCATCCTTCTCTTTTCTAATGATCTTTAACTTTACCCTATATCACATGTAACCACACCTTGAAATCAGTCACCAGGTGAAATTACTCTACCTCCAAAATTTCAGATTGTCTAGCCATAGCCACCTACCCCTCCACTTCTTTTATGCATTCCCACTGAATCTGCAAATTGTCTTCAGTGTAACCTCCAATCTTTGTTTTTATAGTTCATCAGTTATTTTCTACCTTATCTTCCTGAGCTGCTAGAATTCTTTTATCAGCCACTTAAAATGCATTCTCCCTATTATCTTCAATTCCTTTGACCTTCAGTCAGGTGTACCTTGTCAATGCTCTTTCCTAACAATTTCCCTTTTCTTGAACTACCACCCCCACCCTCAACATTTATTCTTAGTATGGAACCTTGTTTTATTATTCCCTGGAAAAACCAAGATCACTGGTGAGCATCTTTGGTTTTTCTCAGTTTAGGCAACTGTATATTTATCCTTTTACTCTCTTTCCCACTGCCTCAGAGGAAAAATCACCCCTCTTCCTTTAAAAGGTTTCTTGCTTCTGTGTTTTTGGTCCTATTCTTACTAAGTTCAGTTCCCTGGTATTATATTTTTCATTATTAGCATAAAATACCCTATACGATTTTTAAAATACTAACTCAAAGGGGAGCTGGGGATAACGTCTCCATGTGTGTTAAAATCTGTGTAATAGTATCTAATTCACCAAACAAAACTTAAAGTATTAAATCTATTTAATTCTAAAAATGAAGCAATTTAAGCCACATTGTAGTTCACTTAGGAATAAGTGAAACAGGAATTTTAGTCAAGTTGTACCTAAATCTCCAAGCTAGAAAACAAGAAAATTTAATTTCAAAGCAATAAAATAAGCAGTATATGACTCCATTTACTGAAGAGCAATATATACTCAGGAAAATGAGCATTCCATAAAAGTACAACTTGAAAATTTTTCATCAATTGAGCATGAACAGAGTCATGTAACTTGTGTCTGGATCAGGAAATATGACCAACAGTTCCCTTCTGCTCCCTTGAAGTTCTTGTAGGCCCCTGGTGACCCCTATTCTGACTCTAATGCCATAGTTATATGGTTAACATCTTAAAATGAGGTTAGCTGGAACATATTAATATTATTAGTATTTGCTTGTTTTATTTCACTTTAACGAATATCTACAGTAGAGCAAGAGTTTAAAATTAAATGAACACTGTATAAAGTATTCATCAAAGATACAAATTGAGGATGGAGTCTAGCTTCTCATTACTCCAGTCCTTGGGAAATCCTGTTATGTGAGATTATAATGTTTGTCTTTTGAGGAGAGTCTTTCTCCTTTGCTGGCTTCGATGATGCTAAGTGCCATATTGTGAGCGGCTATATGGAAAGATCTATGTGTCAAAGAACAGAGCTGCCTCTGTTCTCTGTCTAACAGCTAGTAAGAAAATGAAGCCATCATGCTTATAGTGTTAGGAAGTGAATTCTGCCAACAAAAGTAGATCTGGCCCCTTTCAAGCCTCAGGTGAGCCAGCATCCTTACCCAAGAACTTGATGGCAGCTCTGTGAGACCCAGTCAAAATTTTTTTAATGATTTAAGATTTTAAATCTTTCAATTTTTTCAGAATTGTCCACCGCCTTTTCTCCAAAGTGAGCTAACTTCTACTACTGTCACACTGTTGTGGGCTAGAAAACATCTGCTGGGTTGCTGCCTCACAAGATTTCAGATGATAACAGATCCCTAACATCATCATGACCCTCCATCATCTTTTCCCACCTTGGAGCTAACCCCAAGATATGCTAGCTGTTGGAAGACCCTCTTTTACATCTTCATTACTTTTCATGTTCTTGCTTATACTCAATACTTTACCTTTGCTCTCCTCAACTTGGAAAGTCTATATAGCTTGAAAGTATTAATATTTTGATGTATTTCCTTCAAATTTTTTTTTCTAAGAATATTCTCTTTACAAATGTTTTGCTTTGTTTTTCCATTTCCCATTAGGACCCAAACAGCTTCCTATGTTGTTCAAAGCTATTTTAACATTCCGACTGCATTCATAATGTTTTTATTAGCCAAATTAAATCTCCCAGTAGATCCCATAGGTCTTATAGATGTTGGTGGGAAACACAATTGGAGGGTATGACAGTTTCAAATCAGCCTGGATATAGTCTTGGAAGGAAGCAGCTGCAAGACTATTCTTGCCTCTCCCACAGCGAAGCCCTAGACTCCACCATTGCATGGCTTCTGGAGTTTAGTTTGTGAGGGGAGAGAAGGAGTATTTGGCCTACTTTGCCTTGTCCCCACCATTCCCGGTAGAAACACTTCAGACATCAACACATACTCTCAAGACCTGGGAAACTTTCTAGCTTGGGTAAAAGACAAAACAGTGGGAAAAATTAATGGGAATTAGGGTAGATTATGGGTGGAAGAAGCTGGCACACATGACGCTGCAAACCCACAGCATGGCCCTGGCATCAGCCTCAGAGGACATACAGTATCACCCTTGTACAAGGCATTTTTCATTTTGGTTGGAATTTTCATTGTAACAGGGCCAATTTCTTTAAGGTTTGGCCACAATATTTCAGATCCTGAATTTGTGAGTCCAAGCTCATTTGTGCTTATTTTTAGTAGAATAGTCAGATTGAATCTGTGGATTAGCAGTAGACATTGTGCCAAA